ACTCAAGAATCTCCTAAAGCCAAGTCCGGACAAGGGAGATATGGTTGATTGAAGTAGGGCATCACTCCGGTTGGACCGAATCTGCGCGGCTTCACCAAAACAGGTATAACTTTTTTCACAGGAGGAATTTGGATGCAAGGCTGGAGCCATTGGAAAGATAACTTCTGGGGCTTCAATTTGGAGGCCTGGCCGACCATTTTTGGACTTCCCAATCACTGGCCAACTACCTTTCTTTCCGATAGACCAATTTTTTGTCCTGAAAAATCAGAAAAAGTAGCAGGCCGACCAGAAAAGGTGGTCAGCCGACCACCTGAACCTTTTGACCTGGTCGGCCGACCACCTGAACTGGTCGGCCAGCTTTCTCCTTTTTTGTCTCAATGAGTTGAAGCCAGCTGTGCCAGCTGGAAGCCTCAGAATGCATCCTCCATACACGTGTATGGAGGATGTTTAAGCTAGCTTTTAAGCTTCTTGGAGAAGCTTTAGACCTTCTCCTCTATAAAGGAAAGGGCCCTCTTCCATTGCTAGGGTTCAGAACCTGTTTTGAGCATACATACACTTTCCCTCCATATCTCTATATTCCAAGCTCCAAAAACCCTTGTTCTTGGTCCCATTGCACTACACCTCTAAGCACAACACCTCCATTATCAACCTAAGAACCTAGGAGCTCATTTTCAGAGGTTGGAGAGTTCCTATTTTTCTCCAGAAGCTGCTGGCCCTCTGCTCTACAAGGGTAAGACATTAGTTCCCTCTTTTGGACCTTATTTTGCTTCATTGTTTAGCCTTACTTGCAAGAATTTTTGGGTTTCATCATAAACTTAAAAAAGGTTTTTTTTTGAGCTTATAAACATGTTTGTTTAAGGTCATTTTTCTATTGGGGGTCATCTACCCCCTTGCATGCTTCATTTCCTCTTGTTTTGAGCTATGCATTAGAGCATTTGTGTTGGCCTTGGTTTGGCCTTTTAGCCACTAAAATCCAGTAGATTTTCAGTGGCTAACATGTGTTTTTAAGCCTTAAAATCAGAAAGGGGTGACCCTCTCACCCCTTGTTTTGTTTACTAGCTTTCTTGGCCTTACAAAGGAGCCGCCATTTGCATGTTTTGAAGCCATGTTTCAGGCAACTTTTTGTGAGTTTTGTGACCTACATGAACTCTTTCCAGAGCCCTTTTGGCCATATTTGATGTCTATCTTGCACGTGTAGAGTAATCATTTTCATGGCCTTTCAAAGGGCCCTTTACTTGCATGCTTCCTAGCCTCATTCCAGGCCCTTTTTGGTGGGTTTTAGGGTCCTCATAACCTCTATCTAGAGGTAGTTTTTCCATTTTGTATGTCTATCTTATATGTGTGGAACAACCCCTTGCATGGCCTTCTAAAGGAGCACATCATTCTTGCATGCATTGACTGAGTTTCAGTGGGTTTTGGGGCATTATTTGGCATGGCATACTTCTATTTTTGGCTAGTTTGGTGAGCTCTCATGTGCTTCATATAGTTGTAGTACAACTCATGGTTCACTAGCTTTCTTTGCATGCTTTGTTGACCCTTGATTTTAGCACTTTTTGGCCATGCCTTAAACTGATGTTGTGCATATTTTGGACTGCCTTAGCTTTGTTTTTGGGTCTCATGGTCGAATGATATTTGTTTTGCATCCTTGTAGTTCAATACCCATGCTTAACCTTGAGTTTTGAGGCTCATTCCATGCATATACTGAGGTGTGTTCATGTTTTGGGTCCATTATACATCATATTTCAGAGCTTGTATGAATGCCATATTGCCATGTTTTCTACTCCTTAAGTGTGCTTGAGAGTTGTCCATGAATGTCTTGTTTTCGGACCATTGAATGAGCTCCATTTCTTCGCATTCCGAGTCATCATTTTAGGCCATTTCCCCACTGTTTCAGACCTACCTAGGGTTTTTTTGGGGTTGGTTTTGCCATTAGTGCATTGCTTTGGGTACCTCTAGTGTAACGCACTTCACTAGTTTCGGTACCCGGGCCCCCCTAGCATGCATTGTGTGACATATTTGCATGTTTCGAGACCATCTTTTGTGCCATTTCAGAGTTGTATCATATGTCATTCTATGCCATACTTCATCCTCTGCCATGCTTACTTAGAGTTGCATGTTATGCCTTAGGATCAGTCCTTTGCATCCGTGCATGTTTGCATGTGTTTTGGTTGTCTCATTTCCATCATATGGCCACTGATTTGAGTGTGGTTGAGGTCCACTCATATTGGTGTAAGTCCATCTTACATTAAGCATGCCATTTAGTTCATGATTGTTGCATATTTGGCCATTGCATTGTGTGTGCTTTGATCATATCATTAATAGTCTTCATGTGCGCATGATAGCCTTCGTATGTGCATTGTGTATGCCATTGTAGTTCATAGCATTGTGTATGCTAGGTTGCATGTTAGTCACACTGTATATGCCATGCATATTGCATTGTGTTTGGAGTAGGGTTTAATCCAAACACGAGAAACGAGTGACGTTTCGTACTCAAAGTGACGAAACGTGTCTCAATTCCCGGTCGCCGACACTCCAGATTATCCATGATGGAGTCTAAGCCTTGTTGTGTTTTCATGTGCATTCATATCACATCGAATCGTGCATTTCGACTCCTCGGCCATCATGCATCTAGATGCGTGATTGGTGGCACGAGGATCGAGGTCATGCATACATATGTGAAAATGCTTTGCCATGCCCCTTTCTTGCTCTCTGTTGCAGCAATTCAGAAATCAGCAACCTTCTAGAGCTTTGCACAGCATTCCAGGATTAATTGCAAACAGAGGCGAATCGGGGCATCGCAATGGCTTTCCGCGCAAGGCAACTCATGCATGCATCTTTCATCATTCAGAACAAAGCTGAGGCGGTCCATGAATTTGCATGCTAGTTTATTTGCTTTCCTAGTTAACTTGTTAATTAATTAGGGTTTTGTTATATTTAATCATTCATTCGGACTGTAATTATTTATTCGGACCCTCCGAGCGAGGGCACAATTGTAATAAGTGTGCGTGAGTGTGATGTATGTCTTCCAACCCCACGTCATTTCTCCCTTTTATTTATCAGCTTATGATGGTTAGATTAGGGCATGTTTCAATTAGCATACTTATGCTCGTATGTTTGCATTCATTCATCTGTCTTGCATGCACCGGGCTTGGCGCATCATACTAACTACATTGTATTTCAATTTCGAGTTCAATATGTGTTAGTTGTAGCATTTTACATGCCATTGTAGAATAGCCGAGCCTATTTTAGTAGCATTTTGCATGTGTTGCATTAGGCATTCCAGCATAGTTAGGATTCATGCATGATTTCTAATCAGCTTCTGTTTTAGCTTAGAGTACTCGATAAGTTTTATGCTTTAGCATCCTTGCATGCGTGTGAGTGACTGCCATGATACCATGCTTACCATGAGGCTATTTGCTTATGTGATATAACTGTCTGAATGCCTGTGGGTGAAGATTGGATTACTTGAATTGGAATAATGCATTGACTGTGAGTTTTAAGCCCACTAGATAGTGGCAAAACCATGTTTTCTAAGCCCACCCGAGGGTGGCAAAATCTGCATCTTAAGCCTACTTGCGAGTAGCAAACCGCTTTAAAAAACAAACATGAAATGTTTTGTTCCAATTCAGGCGATCCAGTTTATACTTGTATGCTGTGCGCATCACCTAGTAAATCTAGGCTAATAACCGGAATAAGAACGCATAATGTTTTCAAAACTAGATATCATGGTTAGTAAAGGCTGATCTTTGATCGGGCGAGCGGGGGTGCTCACGAAGTGACCTTCCCCAATCGTACCCAAGTTCCCGAGCCGAGGCTACTTTGGTGATGACGGACACGTGGCCTTAGGCAAACGAGTCAGGGTTTCCTAAATTCTCCAAAATAAAATATTTAGGTGGCGACTCTGTATCTGGCAAAGCAATCCATGTTTGGCACTTCTTTCAAAACAAAAATCTGTTTTCAAAAACGATTTGCCGGATTTGGACTCTTTGATGATTCATCGGTCTTGCATTGCACTCTGCGAGATTAGATACAGGACCGTGACAATTTGAGTCCTGAACTGTAGTGAGCCCAAATGAACAGAACGGGATTTCCCTCCTGGGACGTTCGGGGACGTCTACATAGCCGAATGAAAAAATATATATATATTTTTATATTTGGAGACTAAAAGTTTGGTCGCCAAAAGTATATTTATAGCGACAAAAGAATATTTTAGTCGCCAAAAGGTTAAAATATTAAGAGGGAGATTTCAAATTTCAGACGTATTAAAAAAATTTACAATTAGCGACTAAAATATTTAGTCGCGAATTATTATTAATTATATATGTATTTTGTTTTCCCCTATCTCCTCTCTGTCTCTAGCGAGAAGAAAGACCTACCGTCTTCTCACTTCTCTCATTGACCTCCAATTCCATCCACCAATGGCGCGGCCACAGCCACAGGTTGCCACCACCAATGCTATCTTGATCCTATTTCTCGTGGCCGAGGTCGTTTCCTCTGGCGAAGCAACAACCATTGTCCTCCGACCACCACGGCAGCAGCAACCGCCATACCATGTTCCTCTCCCTCTTTCTATCTCCTCCTCCTAGCAGCTCTTCCGGCAACTCCTCCTCTCCCTTCGTCCGCCGCCAGATTCAGGGATCCGACCCTCTCCACCCTAACGCTCACATGCCCCTCTATGACGATCTCCTTCTCAATGGGTAATAAATCTTCATATCTTCTCTGATCTCTTTCATATGTAATTCGATGGAATTGAAAATTGGTGTTGTTGCAGTTCCCTGCTCTACATGTGAACAGTGTACTTCTCCGATCTTTTTGATTTATGCTCACCAAGTGTAAGTAAAAATGTCATAGAGAGGTTTTGAGGACTGGTTTGTTGATTTATGTTCCTTCTATAGTTGTGTGCTCTGCACTGTCACTTAATTTTAATGAAGTTAGTTAACTAAAATTGAAAATTAGAGAGAGAAAATGAAGAAAAAGAAAAAAAGAGAGATTACATTCGATTGTTGATTCATCTGCTTAACTATCAGTGTATATTTAATTTTTGAATTGTAGAATTATTTGGGTTGCACAGTTGCACCAGCTCTGCATGTCTGTACATTTATGAAACACTGCATATTTATGGATTCATGTGGTGTTTTTTCCTTAGGTTTGCTACTTTGTTGCATCAGTGTCCGAATTCGATCAAGAAGGGGTCTGCTAAGGAGATAGCTTTAGCAGCTCATGCCATTGGTAACTCTTTGACCCTTTGTTTTACTCATTTTGTTTGATTCATTTTGTTTGATTTGGAGTAGTGTTTGAGATATGTTTTTTTGTAGGATTGCTGGCTCTGACCACTGGTCCTGAGGAAAGAGCTCAGGAAATATTGGAAGAATCAGTTCCTCCTATTTCACAAGCTCTCATGTCAACATGAGATGCCTAGATATGTAATGTTGTAGATTTAGATCTTGATTCAAACTTTGGTTGATTAGATGGTAGTTGTCTTTGAAATCTATTCTGCAAAAACTAATGCTGCTACTCTTATCAAGTAGTGGCCGCTAAACCTTTACCAGGTTTAAACCAGTTTTATTTGAAGCCGTAAGTTTTTTAAAATATATGTTTAACCAATCAAACAATGTGCTAGTTATTATGCTTTGCCCATTGCCAACTTGGGTTTTCTATACGGAAGGCTTGAAGTGGTTTGTATTCGGGACAATGTTGGGACCTAATTCCTTGTTAATTTGTGTTGCTGGGGATTTTGTATTAGTCTATTCTTTCTTTGAATCTGTGAACCTTTCTTTGTTCCCCTTTTAAAGTCATTCACTCTTTGTACAGAGATTGTACGAGTCACCAAACTCGGTCGTCAACAAGGCGAGGACACAATATCGAAACAAGCAGCGAATGTTTTCGCAGGTAGTTTATTATTACAATAAAAATAGTACTCAGCTCATCTTTAACTCCTTAATGAACTATCAGAATGAACTACCATCATGCCATTTAACTCCTTAATTTGTTTATATTGGTTAAAATGATTATTTTATTTTTTTTAGGCATTTTAAAGAATAGAATAGCATATAGGTCATCTTTGTTTGAGAGTATATGGTCTGAGGATTGGAATAATAATATAATAAAATACTTAATTTCATGTTTGGTTAAGAATCCACCCAAACATAGCATCCCTCATATAGAGAATTATTGAATACTAAGAGAGTGAGATACAAAAAGGTCATGTTCAGACTGAATAGTTAAATTACAAAATTGATAGGATTTTGTTATTCATTCTTCATAATCTTGAGTCAATCCAAATATGAAATATAATACACTATCCTAAAAGATTAATAGTCTCAGAACTAGCAGTCCTAACAATGCTAATCCCATCTAATTCTGTTTGCCCAAACAAACATGACCATAGGATACTTTCAATCATACAATATGATAGATGAACCTTATTCTCTTTGATCCTAATTAACAAGAAGCTTACTCAAGTATATGTAGGATCAATAAAACTGTATCATAAAAAAAGGATCAGGATTCTTTGCAATGGATCTCTTTGCAATGTTCTTGTTGTGGTAATACAATGGCATTTGTTTCAAGTTGAAGCAAAATTACTTCATTTTAGAATATTTTGTTTTAGTGTCATTTTACTTCCATTTTCACTCGAACAGCTGCATTATGGTTTTTGCTAATATGCCTTGTGTTAATAAAAAGCAATAGAAAATCATGAGAAAGAAACTGAACTCCATTAAAAAGGGTCGCAGTTGCCTTAACATCTTTGTAGAATTCTTACCATATGCAACTAAATCCTACAAAAATGTGCAATTTAAGCCACCAAATTTTTAAGCTCATCTTTTCGCAAATTGTACGAGTCACAAATTTTATTTTATTTTTTGTCCGACTTTGTTTTGATTTAGAGAAAGTGATGCAAAAGTGGGGGCAAGGACTAAGCCAGTATATTGGCCATGATCAAGCTTTAATAAATTGGTGATACTTCGAAGTAAACTAGTACCACTTACTCAATTTTTTATTTTATTTTTTGCTTACTTGCAAGCACCTTAAGCAACCATTTCAATATGCATTCTATTTATGCTCTATTCAGTTCATTGGGATGAGATAGAATGGAATAGCATGATTATTCCTTAATCTTCCTTACGGAATGATCATTCCATTACATTGGTATATGATGTTCTATTTACAACGTATTTTTCACTATTTTTGTTTGTCAACCAAACATGAGAATAAATATTTTGATGTAATGATCATTTCATTCTATTTCATCTAGTGAACCAAACACTATCTTAGGTGACCTTTCTAACTCTTGTCATTTAGACTAAATTTAAATTAGTGATCATATTTTATAATGGTGGATCTCGATAATGTGCTATAGCAATCCATGGTTATTAAGGCAAGGTTGAATCCCTTGAGTTTTTGGATTGTTTAATTATCTATACTTATTTGCTAAATGCTTCTGCTGATTGGGAGGTTGATCATTATTTTGTAGTTGGTGTCTTCAGAAAGAAAGGTACCAAACAATATGAAGCAAGCTTGAAGGATGAAAAGCCTTTAGATCAATGGCTTCATTGTTAAATTAAGCAAGTGTTTTAGTAAATAAATTTAATTTTCCCATCATGTTTACACCTTCAAAATATTCTGTAAATGACATTTGATGTAGAATTTTGTGTACAAAGGACATCTTTTTTGTATGATTCTCTATTTGTATGGAATTATTATTTTGGGTTGGATTATATTTGATTTGTATAGAATTTGATGTTAAAAGACCAAATTTTTGTATGGTTGAAACGAAATAGAAATAGATATATGTATTATTTTGTTTATATACAGAGTGCAGGTTGCACGAAATAAATACAGGTTGTGGAGAAATTAATTATAATAAGAAAAATACTAAATAAAGTTTTTGGCATCTAAATGTTTAGTAGCCAAAAAAAAAAAAAAAATCAAACATTTGGTGACTAAAAGTGAATTTGTTAGTTACTACCAATTGGTAGCCAAAAAAGAAATCAATATTTTTAGCCACTAAATATTTGGTAGCCAGAAATAAATGAGACTTTCGACGACCAAATGGTTAGTAGCAAAAAATAAAATAAAATGAAAAATAATTTTTTTGGCGACTAAATTCTTTAGTCCCTAAATGTAGTAATATTGTGACTAAAACTTATCTACAACTAAAAGTTTTAGTCGCTGAAAATTAAATTAATTTTATTTGAACACTTTTGGCGACTAAATATTTAGTCACCAAAATATCACTTTCCCCAACTACTCAAAGTTTCGTAGCCAAATGTTCACTTTTGGTGACTAATGTTTTTGTCGCCAAAAGATAACCTTTGCCGACTAACCAAACTTTAGTAGCCAAAACATTCACTTTCGACGACCAAAAGTAGTTTAGTCACCAATACCATCGCCGACAGAGTATAGGCGACGACTTTGGTGACAACAAAAATTAGTCACTAATTAGTTTCAGCGACCAAAAATAAGACTTTTAACGACCAATATTTTAGTCACCAAAAGTATCATTTCTTGTAGTGGATGTTTATAAATTTTTTAACTATTTTAACTTATTATAAAAAGAAGTGAGAAAAACATAACACAAATAAATTAATAAATCAACCAACTGAGGTTTTAAATTCATCCAAATGGAAGCTCACAATGGAAAACTCAAAGCATTATTATATGTAAGTATTGTCGTGTAGTTGATAAATGCCAGCAAAGCCATGACATCAGTTTCCCACTTCAGTCCACATACAGTTAAATTAAGGTAATTATTAAATATTTTTCTGTCCAGAGGAGTTATTAGTTGATCTTAACATATCATTTCATAAATCTTGTTTGAAAAGTTAATTATTTAAAAAAAAAGAAGTAATCAACATATAATCCACCACTTCAGTCTAAAAGAATTAACAAAAGTATTTTTTATATTGAAAGAGAAAGTGACAATCGCTTGATGAAAAGAAGTAAATAATTGTAAAAATACTTAATATTTTGTTAATTGTTGTATTTAGGCCAAGTTTGACATGATTGAAAAAAGACAAAAAATTAAAAAGTCATTATCCTATTTAAGTCACATCATCTTATTTAAGTCACATCACCCCTCTAATACATCACTTCAACCCTAACCCAAACCCAATTCATATTTCATAAAAAGTCAAAAAAATATACTAGCCCTTATTATCAATAATAATAGGAAGCACCTAATACCTTTCCTAGTAACATTATATAGACACTCACTGCTATACTATACCTTCAGGTTTGAGAAAGCAAGACAAACCAATCAAAATGAGCAAAGCACAGCTGGTGTTCATCCCATCTCCAGGCATAGGCCACCTCGTATCGACGGTTGAGATGGCAAAGCTCCTCGTCGGCCGAGATGACCGCCTCTCTATCACCATCCTCATCATGAAGTTTCCATTCGATAACAAGGGCACAACCACCCAATCACTCTCCTCCGACCGCATACGCTTCCTCGACCTCTTTCACGACGCCTCTTCCACAGCCGATCCCAATTCCAAGGCCCCCGACCCTTTGCTCTATGACTACATCGAAAATCACAAGACTCCCGTCAGAGACGTTGTCTCCGAGATAGTCTCTAAGTCCGAGTCTGAGTCTGAGACTGAGTCCACTCCACGACTCGCTGGGTTTGTGATTGATATGTTGTGCACGCCCATGATTGACGTGGCGAACGAGTTCGGCGTCCCGACCTACGTCTTTTTCACGTCCAGCGCTGGGTTCCTGAGTCTCATGTTCCATATCGACACCCTTCAACAAGACATCACTGAGTTGAAAGGCTCGGACGCTGAGTTGAACGTTCCGGCTTATGCCAACCCAGTCCCCGCAAAGGTCTTGCCTTCTGTTTTGTTCGACAAGGAAGGCGGGTTCACCATGTTCATCAATATCACTAAGCGCTGCAGAGAAACCGAAGGTATTATAGTCAACACATTCACGGAGCTCGAATTCCGTGCTCTCAAGTCCCTCCAAGACGACCATACAATCCCAAAAGTGTATTCTGTGGGACCCGTACTCAATCTCAAAGGCGGCAGCTCAAACGAGGCCCAAAACAGCCAATCCGAAGCGGACATCATGAGGTGGTTGGACGACCAGGATCCGTCGTCGGTGGTGTTCCTCTGCTTCGGGAGCATGGGAAGCTTCGATGGGGACCAGGTCAAGGAGATAGCGCGTGCTCTTGAGAGTTGCGGACACCGGGACGACCATACAATCCCAAAAATATATCCTGTGGGACCCGTACTCAATCTCAAAGGCGGCAGCCCAAACGAGGCCCAAAACAGCCAATCCGAAGTGGACATCATGAGGTGGTTGGACGACCAGGATCCGTCGTCGGTGGTGTTCCTCTGCTTCGGGAGCATGGGAAGCTTCGATGGGGACCAGGTCAAGGAGATAGCGCGTGCTCTTGAGAGTTCCGGACACCGGTTCTTGTGGTCCCTACGTCAGCCTCCACCCAAAGGAAAGATTGAGCTTCCGAAACAGTACGAAAATCCGACGGATGTCCTGCCAGAAGGGTTCTTGGATCGGATGGCGGAGATTGGGAAAGTGATAGGGTGGGCCCCGCAGGTGGCGGTGCTTTCTCATCGGGCGGTGGGAGGGTTTGTGTCGCACTGTGGATGGAATTCGACGTTGGAGAGCTTGTGGTGCGGTGTGCCGGTGGCCACATGGCCGATGTACGCGGAGCAGCAGATGAATGCCTTCCAGCTGGTGAGGGAGTTCGGAATGGCAGTGGAGATAAAGATGGATTATAGGAAGGATTTTGGGATGAAGGAGATGCCGGTGATGGTGACGGCGGAGGAGATAAGTAGTGGGATAAGGCAATTGATGGACGTTAGTGATGAAATTAAGCACAAAGTGAAGAAGATGAGCGAGGAGAGCAGGGTAGCCGTGACGGAAGGTGGCTCGTCCTATTGTTCCCTCGGATGCTTCATTGAAGATGTCATCCAAGGACGAGTTTGACTAGGATAATAGTGATAAAAAATGGAGAAATGTTTGGACCCCTTTGGATGAGTCTCAACCCTCAAAACTGATCTCAGCCCTTTTATGTATGTGTGTGATGTACTTTATATATGTATATATATATATATACACTAGTGGGTGGCACACACGATGTGTGTGCAATTTAAATAAGTAGGAATAAAAACAAATAATAATGAAACTAATATTATAATGTGTACTTAGCTTAAGTGGTATGAGTCCTCGTACTTAAACCCATGGTCATGGGTTCAAGCCTTGCCGATATAGCGAGTGTTTGGAAAAGGAGTTTCTATGTAGATTTTTTTAGTTGTAAAATATTATTAGAGAAAATTTTTTTGTATTTGAAAAAATAGTTGGATTTTTTTGTGATTGGATGTAATGTTTGTAAGAAAAAAAGTGAAATGATTATGGAATTAGATGTGATATTTTGTTTAGATTTAATTTTTTTTAATTTTGTAAAAACTTTTTCTTTTAGTGAAAAAAATAATTAAAAAACCAACAAAAATTCTTCCCAAACACGGCCATATACGTGTGAGGTTGACATCCAAATTTGTGGGATCATTACTCTAAAAAATGAGTGAATCAAAATAAAATAAAATAATTTTTAAATTTGTTTGACACGGAAGTGGTGGAAATTGCATCTGGATTTCATGTCGGAGAACACTAATGTTTGATGCCCGGAGGCTTACAATAATGTTTACAATGTGACTGTTTATTTTCGGATTCTCAATTTTATTTAATAATTAATGTTCTTTCAATTCATAAAATTAAATATTAAATCGTTCATTTTAAGGCTCCGTTTGGCAAGAGTTAAACGGGATTTTTTTGACTATTTTAGCCACAAAAGACAAAATAAGTTATTTTAGTTACAAAAAACAAAATATCACATCCAACTCATAATCATTACATTCTTCTCTTACAAAAAAAAGTCAAAAAAGTTAAAAAGCCAAAAAGCCTTTCCCAAATCAAACTTTTTAGCCCAGCCTAAAATAGCTCAAAAAGTCAAAAAGCTAACTCACTTCCCAAACGGAGGCTAAATACATATTTCCAATCAAAGTCTAATGTTCTAAATTTTGCCAATTACGCCTTGGCTTAGAACAAACATTGATGGCAAGAGTAAATTGTGTCAACAGTTTAAAAAAAGACAAAATCAAAATTACAAATAAAGTGTTTGTCAGGACGAAAAAAGATACACAGATTCAATTTTTAAATTTAGTAATGTATTAAGAAAATAATTGATAAATAATTAGATAATATTTAAAAGATGTTTGGCATCACTTATAAAAGCCAAAAAATAACCCAAAATAAATAAATAAATAAAAAAGTTCATATTGTTTAGGATTTTTGGACGGGAAGCCTGTGAGGTCAAAACAAAAAACAAAAAAATCAATGATAACAGCTTAGTGCTGCATTGCATTTCCCCAACAAAAAGAAAACGTGGCACAATGTAAGTTACATATATCCCATAAAAAAAAAAAACAGAAATAAAATGTACGGAAAGCCAGCTCAATGATGTTGCATAGGTCAGGAATACGATAATTTTGATATTTGTTATAATATTTTATTATATATTTTTTTTATAAAAAAATTAAAAAATTATTCTAAATATACATATATTTTTTTACTTTTTTAATTAAAAATTTAAAAAATACACTTATATAAATCATCCAAAACAACCATTTAATTATTAATTAATGACATCATCTCTGTTCATATCTCGTGGATATTTTAGGAGAGCATGGCACCTGATTAATTAAGACCCCATTTGTTTGGGGTTATAAGGGTTATAGAGAGTGGATTGGGATTGATAATGAGGTGAAATGCACTATATGTCATGTTTGTTTTGAGAGATGAGGAGAAGACTTCTAATTTCTTGGTATTAAGATAGGCTTTAGAATAGGGATTGGGATGAATGAGTAGAGGTAGTATTAGAATTTTTGGCTCTGTTTGGTAGAGTTTTCAAACTTTAGTTCTACCCCTTGTTTTCAACGTGGTGTTTATTTACAGTTTTCAAAAATTAATTCCACACTCACTTTTGAAAATTCTGGCCAAGGCAGGAAAATTTAAACTGACCGATCATCCCACCAGACGTCCTACCGGACGTCCCACAGGTCGTCCGGCCAGTTGACAGGAACAGTGCATATAAAAATATTTTCTGAATATTTTAAAAAAAATTTATGAGTTTTGAATATAATTTTGAGTTGTGTGTTTGGTTATGAATTGTAAATTTTTGTATCAAATATCATATGCTACATCAAAAATTCCCCACTCAATTCAAAATTCTTTTCAAAACCCGTTCACCAAATAAATTTTTCACACTCAAACCATAATTTCAAAACTCACAAACTCAAAATACAACTTTATTCTCAAATCATATTTACAAAACTCTACCAAACGCAACCTTAATCTGCCGAACGATTTTTATTTATTTTTTCATTTTTTACATGTTAGGAATTTTTTTTTGTTGTATTTTTTGTTAAGTAAAAATCATTGTTTCATTTGTTTTATTTTTTTTTGGAAATTTTTTATTTTTATTTTTTTATTTTATTTTTTACATGTTGGGCATTTTTTTTTAACATTAATGTCTAATGTTTTTATATTTTTTATTTATTTTATTATTTTATATAAAAATAATTTAACAATCGTACACCAACAACTATCATCAAAATAAACACAATTTTACTTAATCCCCTTACTATCAATTTCCTCATCAACAATCATCTCACTATTAATCCTCTAACTATGAATCTATTCTATTCTATCTCTGAAAATAAACAGGTCCTAAGATGACTGTTGGACTCTTTTTGTTTTGAGAGATAGAGGGGAGATTGGGATTAAGATGAATGTAAGACTCACTAATATTGTGTCTGTTTTGGGAGATGGAGAGGGGATTTATAACCCCTTCGGATTAGGATGGGCCTTAAAGAGGAGATTTAGATGGAAGCTTGGGACTTGGTAATAGAAAATAATCCGCCAGATTATTTTTATTTATTTATTTATTACTTTTTACATGTTGGGCATTTTTATTTTTTATTTTTGAACATTAAAGTTTAATTTTTTGTATTTTTTGTTAAGTAAAATCATAGTTTTATTTTTTATTTTTTATTTTTTTTCAGATGTTTTGCATTTTTTTTAAACATTAATATTTAATGTTTTTGTATTTTTTACTAAGTAAAAATCATAGTTTTATTTGTTTTATTATTTTATATTTGTTTTGTATAAAAATAATTTAACAATTCCTACATTAACAACTATCATAAAAACAAACACAATTTTACTAATCCTTTTACTATCAATTCTCTCACTATTAATTTCTTCACTATCAATCTCTTTCATTCTATATCTGAAAACAAATGAGGCCTTATTTACAAAGTTAACTCAATAATTTCTCCATTGGAGAATACATATGAGTGTTGGAGCCGATTATATCATCGTTGTATTGACTCATTAGATGATAAATAAAATGTAATTAATATATATAATCATCCTAATAATATTATTGCGCACTTAAACTCCTAATTTACTAGACTCTTCCCTTATTGTACAACTTAATGTACTTCTCACTTATGCTTCGTACCCAACATAGGGAATTAAAATGATGATATTATAAAAGGTTTATTTATTAGGAATTTAATTTTTTGGTTGGGAGTAAATTACTGTAGGCATTTTGTTTTTTGTTTATTTATTTATTTTTTACAAATAGTCTATATTTTTATTATACATCCTCTGCCATAGTATCTTCTCTTATTCTATATAAAATCTAAACTCAAACCTAAAACCATATAATATGTTCTTTTGTTACTTTTATTTGTTAGTTTTTAGTTTTAATTTGTAATGGTCTAAATACTTATAGTGAAACCAGTTTTCTTATGGTTATTTAAATTCTAGAATAGTCTATCACTATTATAGAAAAAATGTTGTTATTGTGAAACTGATATAGCGCTATGTTTATATTTTTATGAAATTAAAGTGTTATATATGTATATATATATTTTTGTTATTTAATTATGTGAATATGTGATCTTAAACCTATCCAATCCGTATTTAAATGGACTGGTTCGGATTGGTTCTATGATTTAAACAGATTGGATTGGTTCCAATTTTTCAGAAATCGTAAATAACGAATTGGTCCTAATTTTACCCCAATTCAATCCGATCCGGACCATGCTCAGCCCTAAAATCTACATTTGACACTCCTTAAAAAGTAGCCTATTGTAAAAAATTAATTAGGTGAAAGTCATAATTAATAAATTTATAATGTGTACAAAAAAATGAAACTTGTGACTATTGTATGAACATTTGATTAAATTATAAATAAATAATGTGGTCTGATACGAATGAAATGTTACGAATCATTTCATAAAATTATTAAATTTATTCACAAAATGTTATATTAAATTAAATTAAATCTATAGTCAAACGAGCCGAATCGAACCGATATTTAGTATGTTTGAATTTATTTATTAAGATTTTAACGAATTCGACCTTGAACTCGAGCTCAATAAAAATTTAACAAACCGAACTCGAGCTGAGTTGGCTTAAGCTTGACTCAAGCTCTAGTCTGTTCACGAGCCTTAACGAGGCAAAAAATTTATAAATTCATACTTACGTATGAGACTAAAGTTACAATTAAAATTTTGATTATACAGTTATATATACAATATATAAACATTCTAAAAAAAAAAAAGTCAATATTTTATAAAAATAATAATACCTACTACTACTATTATATAAATGTATTATCTATAGTTAACTATTATCTACATTTATATTTTTTAAATATATAAATAAAATATTTATCTTATTTTTCATACATATTTTACATTATTTAATATATAAATAATAAATATTAAACGAGCCAGCTAACGAGTCGAGCTTACGAGCCGAGCATTAGAATGTTTTGACTTGTTTATTAAAAATTTAATGAGCTCGAACTCAAACTTGAACGTAAAAAAAAATAATAATAATAAAATAATAAAATAATAAAAAAAATAAAAATTAACAAACTGAGTTTGAACGAACTCTTATCCAGCCAAGTTCGAGCTTATTCACTAACGGGTCTGTTCATTTACAATCCTATATTGAAATGGTGCATAATATCATAT